TTTTTTTTTTTTTTCTTTTTTTTTTTTCGTTTGTCAAAATCAAAAAGAAAATAACAAAGCCTTTCAACAAGTGTCCGTAGCCTATTCATTATGGCCAGCAACATTCACAGCTACATTTCGCACGAGTGATTTCGCGTCAGTTTATTATGCGACATGTTTTGAGCCTCTTGTGTTATTCATTAACAACAGCAAGTAATATTCCCTCATTTCCACGAACATTTGTTATCAGAAAATGGTTTTGAGAGAACTCTAGTTTACAGTTACAACACCATTTTTTTTTTTTTTTTCATTTAGTGCGATAACCCAATTGTGAGGCATCTTTTGTATTTTTAAAGAAAGCTTCATCACGAGCTCATTTGACAACTTCATTCATCAATCAATCAGCGAAGAAAAAGGCCAAAATTCACCCCAGCCTCATTTCCCTAGAAAAAAGAGCTTAGGCCGACTTAAAGGGGCACTTTAATCTTGAGTATAACTTCAAAAAAAGTCAGAGCCTAAAAGACATATTTCATCGATAAAACCATAAAACGGTACAGTTTTGGTAAAAAAAACTACCGTTTAAACCCACCGAAGGTTCAAAACGACTGCTTTGCAGCATGAAAAAATCTTTCCAATGATACCCAGATCAGAGTGATTGGGTCAATTGAACGTGAAATACGCACGAAAATTCTTAGAAATTTGAGTGAAAAACGTAGAGCAAAATTCCCCTAAACTAGACTTAGCTAGTCCGTGGTATGAATTTCCCGTCTCGATGATGCTTTCTCGCGAATTCTTGAACTGGACGCAAGCCCAGTAGAAGTTTAACAACTGCAGCAAGAAGATAAGGCAGGGATAAAAAGGAAATGCGAGAAAAAAAACCGAATAGCTTAATTATAAATGCGTAGGTTTGTGCTCACGCCCGAGCAAAAAATGTCATAAAAAGCGATTCTAGAGGAAAGAAAGGCATGCTTTCACGTTGCAAATGCCTCCTTGGGTAGGTTGGAACTAATGTAGCTCATATCCATGCAGAAAATGTTAAAAATGTCCGAAAATGCGTTTTTGCCAAAATGCTTCAGGTGTCAATGAGTTAAGTAATAATTTGATTAGCCTAGTTCATTTATAATGTTAACTAAAGTTATTGCATGTACACATGTAATTATCTTAAGTTATATTTTACGTATTCTGTGACGCGACACATAAGCTGCTTAAAGTTACTGCGCAGTTTTTCTGTCTTGGGTCCAATCTCGTTCCCAGAGTCTTCGTTCCCCTTGACCAGCGGTCGGAAAACGAGAGCTCTGGGAGCAACGATGGAGCAACCATTTCAGGCGTGCGCCATAGATGCAGACTGCGCAGTGAAACCGGATGGGCAGAATTCGGTTATTTCAAAGTGGTTGCTCCCAGAGCTCTCGTTTTCCGACCGCTGGTCAAGGGGAACGAAGACTCTGGGAGCGAGATTGTCCTGGGTCATGTAAGACATCACAAAATGTAACATTTCGCAACTACTTACATGAAGTAAATTCAAAGTTTCACGTCAACCGCCATTATGAACGCGAAAACTCTTTGCTTCGTTCCTTCTGATTTCGCGAGATGAAACAACTCCGCAGCTGTAAAAATCAAAGAAACCGTCGGAAAAAGAATTTAAAATGTCTCAAAGATAAGGTAAGCGGTTCGTAACGAATAACATCGATTCGTGTCCCATCGAGTGAGACTCTCAAACATTATGGTTCTGAGGCCTTGCAGTACGGACTGGAAATTATTTTAAGGTTAGGGGTGTTACTGAAACAGCAAGTTTCTCGAGGTTGACTTAAGTATCGGTATTAGTTTTAATGTCAAATAGTGCAAAAGTCTGGCAGGCTTTATCAACGCCTGTCTGCCATCGTGTCTTGGAAAAACCCTAAGACTAATCATAATTTTCGCCCCCTTCGCCAAATGAATTCACTTGATATTGTCCCCGTGTTTTAGGAGCGTTTCAACCACGAACAAAGGCACCCGGTCATAATTTTAGCACTGTTTGGACCAAAAAGAAGGAAAAGTTTAAAAGAAGGTTTACAAGAAAACCCGAGCTGCTGTTTTTCCGGCTTACCTGAGGCAATCTGTTTCAAGCTTCTCCAATTTTCCCCATCCATGTCCCTTTTTTGATTTTCCTGATTTCCGTTTGAATTCTTCTACAATTTTTCTGCTGTGATATTTCAGTTAACTCTATGACCAGTCGGTAAGAGCTGAAACTGCCTAAAAATATGTAATCTAGCCTCTTGGAGAAGTATAAAATGATAAGGATATTGTATTCCCATACAGAGACGACAGTGTAGATTTAATTTTACTGAACTCGTTTAAGCTCACAAAAACTATTTTCGTCTTTTGGTTCCAATCAAAGTCATTACTTGTCTAAGAATTGGATCAACTTCTTATTTCTCTCTAATATATTACCAAGTAGACAGGTAATGACATGCAGTGAGTATTTCCGTGATCTGACACCAAATTCTCAGTAGGAACTAGGAGAGAAATGTTCCGCAACTGGTAAGGAAAGTTGAGATTTTGAGAAGAAGCAACTTTATAAATGGCTCGAAGAGCATCAAATTTCATATTTCAGTCATTTCATCATATTTCAAGATTTTTTCACACTTTTTCTCTCGCGTCTTTAGGGTCAGTCCTCATAAGCCTCGAAATCGAACTGTTGCCCAGTTTAGGAATTTGTTTTGTTTTTATTATTCTCCTAAGCCTCAGAGCCTGGTTAGAACTGTGTTATTTCTGCCATACGCATCAAAATCAAGGGGACAAATGAAATGTTTACCTTAAGTTTTTCCATTTCTCGCCTACTGCGTTACCAACCCAAACACCACGCTATAACAGGGAAATAAAAATTTGCCCTTAGGACTGTGACGTCATTTTCCCGCGAAAAACACCGTTAAAATCCAAAAAAAAACACACCATTGTTTGGAGTTAAAAGTTCTATCACTGTGCAAAGTTTGAGCTCCTTCGGATAAAAGACCCAAAAGTGTACATGTTTTCAAGGGTGCAACCTCAAGCCCTCTGCTGCCCCTTGTGAAAGCACATTGAAAACAATACTGCAGTAAGTAATCTGTTCACTCTTTTATTCATCTTTAGCTTCACACTCCACGTTATTTGAATTTCGCTTTCCAAATTATTTATATTTGAAAATAAAGAATAAACCACGAAGTATTAAAATATTGGCTTTGAGTCTGATATCCTCGATATTTCGTTAACACTAAACCACTACTTCTAACGACAACCATAACCTAACGTAACAAAAATATAAAATTTAAAACAACAATTTTCTGTCAAAAAATTAAAGCATAGCCATATGAAAGCCTCGAAGGAAAGAAGGCTTAACAAGTGTGAGAATAACATGTGATAATACCGATATCAACCAGAAATGGAATTAAATATACTATTAGTGAGTGATATGTACAGTTTTGTTTAACAACCAAACTTAACTGACTTCGGAATATAAAAGATGTAATGCAGCACTAAATAGCGATGAAACAAAAATATTACAGCTTCAATTATCTGATGCAGTGGCAAAATTTAACAGATAAAGAAAACCAAGCAAAGCAACTCAAAATAAATAATACAAAACGTGTCGTTTATCTAACTGCTTTTCTCAAGAACCAAAATCTTAAGGTTTGGATTTCTAACTTCATAACATTTGCGATGGTTGCAACGCCAAAACAAGCTCATATATCTCAAAAGGTCCATAGGCAATCCACAATTACACGTAAAACTTTCGGGAACGTTTTACTAGAACAATGCATTCAGTTTCTGCATTTGTTTACTGAAAAATATTCCTCTTTTATTGACTTTCAATTAAACCCTGACTCTATAACTACCGCCAGAATCAGCGAACGTCTTAAACCCGTACATACATTATCCACCCGCACAGTCAAGCATGCGCATTAGGCACAAGAACTCCCTTAAAATTCCATCGTGGTATCTGAATAATTTCATACATTTCCTTTCAATTGGAAACAGAGTTCCATGCTCCTCTAACAAACACATATGACATTGCAACCATAGCAAAGCCTCAATATCTTTAGTACTATAGAAATACCTTTTATGTTTTTCTGATGCTAAGTTACGATTTCCCCGTTCCCGAAAGTTTCAGAAACTTTGGAGACATTTTAGGACGTACTACATGGAGCCTTTCCTGAGGCTTTAACTGTGGCTTCCAGAGTCACATCCACTAAGTCCTAATCTATGACACAGCCCTTGTATAGATCTGATATTTTATCTTGACTTCATATTGAGTAAGAAATCAGCTTTTTGTACCAACTGAAAAATGTATATTTCTATACAGTAATTTACAACGGAAATACTACCGTATAGTTGACAAGTATTTTGTTTCTGTTTGTGTTGAGTTTAGTGAACTTAAAGTTCTTTTATCGAACTCACCGGATATGATAACAAACATGGAATATCCCCAATCATCAAAAGGTCTGAAGTATATAAAATTTGAACTGTGTTTATGGATACTGCATTCAGCCAAAAGTTGTTGCCAGTTTAACAATGATAATGATAATGATAACGATGCTCTTAAAATAGATTGAGAGCAGTTTTCTGGATTTAGAAGTTATTCACATTTTTAGCTTCATTTTTTCTCTAACTTAAATCAAATTGGCCTCCCCTTTTAGTCAGGCAATGGTTTCCCTTCCCACATCGTGAGTAAAGATGTGATATTGTTGCCTATCAGAATTGTTTAATTAACAGTGGCTAAACACACTATTGCTAGATACGATGTAACAGGTGGTTGAATCGAATCGTTTCAAATCTAGGTTAAACCTATAGGACCGGTGATTTGTACAGTTCTACTCTACAAGGCATTAGATTTTAACCCGTACGTTCCTATTTTTCTAAGTTTCTTCCAGCTAAACTTCTTTCCATTCAAATTCCATCAGAAAAGGATGAGTAATAAATTAAAGAAAACTAAACTTGTAAGCCTGGATTAAAGATAGACATTATGTTCAATTGTTAATTATTACAAAAATAAATATATTGTTGAATAATCAGGTTATATGAATTTGTTCTTTGTGACTGAGAACTACGTTCCTCTAGTAAGTCTACATTGTATTATCGCTCACTCGAGATGTGATGCGTAACACATCAAACTTCAGCTTCTATCTGTCACGCAAAGAGCTATGAGGCAGAGCTTCAAGCTCGCGTGACAGTCGAAAAGAGATCGGGGACAGAGAGAATATTAAGAGGTTAACTGGCGGGCTTTTGCTGTTGTTATTGTTGTTGTTCTTCTTGTTGTTGTTTGACCTTTGATTGTTTTTTTTCTTTTTGTTATTTGGTTGATTTACCTTAAATTTTTCTCGTTGTTAGAGTTAATCAAGGTTTGCAAAATTTTCAGTTAGAATGTGTTACGTTTCACATCTCGAGCTCTGACAAACACGTACCATTTTAAATTTCTAACCACCAAATCGTTCCTACCTAATTTGTGGATCCAATTTTGTCTCTTGACCGGCAACATCCAGCCCTTCAATTCTGTGGCAAAGTCATTTCGTCTCTAAGAGCTACGACCAGTAAATAACATTTGCTTTTCCACGAAAAGGCAATGCTCTTATCTTCATGGATGTTCCTTGCGACAAGCGAGTCTGTTCCGTGCTGGGGAGGCATTCCACTCAAACGGTCAAAGCGAGCGTCTTGCCTTGCAGTTCAGCTTCATTCTAGAGGTGGCATCCACTAGTTTTTCAGCGTCCCAAATTTCAATTTCACAGCTTTTCCTGTAGTAAAAATATTTCTCAAGCATGTCTTTTCGTCGTTTAACTGTTCTTCAGGTTCCCGACTAACCGCTGGCGTTAAAGATCGTGGTTATGAGTTCTTTTCTTTTTCGCAGCCATCTGCACGAGCTATGGTCCTCAATATGACGTCACGTGACTTCAGATGACAAATCCCGAAACTAAATCAACGCAATGATCCCCGACGACATAATTATCATAAATTGATATAATAAATCCACATAAATTAAGATGATAAATGTTCTAGCTTTCTCTAATTCAGATAAACATTAAGGACCACTGCTTTCCGCCATCTTAGCCTTCGCTTGGGCTTTTTTCTTCTCGCGCAAAAGATTTTCGCTTTCGTCATCTTCCCCATCATCCCCTCCCATCAAGGAAATAAAGCCCCAGGGTGGCTCGTCCTCGAATAACCGACTAATCGCCAGCAGGGCACTGGAGACGACTGCAAGACCAAACGTGAAGTAGACAAATGTGAGAACGGTGAAGGCAATGACGTAACCAGGGTGATCTTTCTCGTTGTTGGATGGATGCTGAGGCACGAAATCTCCAAAACCGATTGTACTAAGCGTGATAAAAGCGAAATAAACTCCCTCGAAAAATGTCCAACCCTCGTAGCTTTTACCTATGCCTGCCAGAAACAAGATCATTCCCGCTACCATGATGAATATGCATGCCACAGTCTTAAGGTAGATTTTACGAGGTTCTCTGTTGAAGATCCTTGAGTCGACAAATTTCCAGAAGTTTGCCGTTGTTTCGGTAATCCGTTCTCCGATCGATTTGAGCATCAGGCCGGTGATTGGGATGCCAAATATGGCGTAAAATATACAGAAAATTCGTCCCCAGACCGTACTCGGAGCCATTTTTCCGTAACCTTGGAGAAAGACAAAATCACAATTACATTGACTTAGATGGTTTCATTTTCTTTTTTTCTGAAAGGAATAATGCAATCAAAATGGAACATAAAACATATTTTATTCCAGGGTGGCAACTTACGCCATATCTTATGCTCGGTGTTCTAAACGACATTAAAAACGTTGTTTCTCCAATGTTCAGGGGGGAGCCTAAGAAAGTTTTATGCAGGACACTTCACCCCGAGTCCAAACCCTTAACCCTTCCATGTACCGTTTTTGACAAGAAAAATCCAGCTTAAGGTCTCTAATAATACACCTAAAGAGCCAAAACGTGCACCAATTGCTAAGTTCCACAAGCTCTTGTGTCAACTCGGAGTCAATTCGTATCTAACTTGATGACTTTTATCCGCAAAGTCGTAGTTAATAAGNGGATGGGCAGAATTCGGTTATTTCAAAGTGGTTGCTCCCAGAGCTCTCGTTTTCCGACCGCTGGTCAAGGGGAACGAAGACTCTGGGAGCGAGATTGTCCTGGGTCATGTAAGACATCACAAAATGTAACATTTCGCAACTACTTACATGAAGTAAATTCAAAGTTTCACGTCAACCGCCATTATGAACGCGAAAACTCTTTGCTTCGTTCCTTCTGATTTCGCGAGATGAAACAACTCCGCAGCTGTAAAAATCAAAGAAACCGTCGGAAAAAGAATTTAAAATGTCTCAAAGATAAGGTAAGCGGTTCGTAACGAATAACATCGATTCGTGTCCCATCGAGTGAGACTCTCAAACATTATGGTTCTGAGGCCTTGCAGTACGGACTGGAAATTATTTTAAGGTTAGGGGTGTTACTGAAACAGCAAGTTTCTCGAGGTTGACTTAAGTATCGGTATTAGTTTTAATGTCAAACAGTGCAAAAGTCTGGCAGGCTTTATCAACGCCTGTCTGCCATCGTGTCTTGGAAAAACCCTAAGACTAATCATAATTTTCGCCCCCTTCGCCAAATGAATTCACTTGATATTGTCCCCGTGTTTTAGGAGCGTTTCAACCACGAACAAAGGCACCCGGTCATAATTTTAGCACTGTTTGGACCAAAAAGAAGGAAAAGTTTAAAAGAAGGTTTACAAGAAAACCCGAGCTGCTGTTTTTCCGGCTTACCTGAGGCAATCTGTTTCAAGCTTCTCCAATTTTCCCCATCCATGTCCCTTTTTTGATTTTCCTGATTTCCGTTTGAATTCTTCTACAATTTTTCTGCTGTGATATTTCAGTTAACTCTATGACCAGTCGGTAAGAGCTGAAACTGCCTAAAAATATGTAATCTAGCCTCTTGGAGAAGTATAAAATGATAAGGATATTGTATTCCCATACAGAGACGACAGTGTAGATTTAATTTTACTGAACTCGTTTAAGCTCACAAAAACTATTTTCGTCTTTTGGTTCCAATCAAAGTCATTACTTGTCTAAGAATTGGATCAACTTCTTATTTCTCTCTAATATATTACCAAGTAGACAGGTAATGACATGCAGTGAGTATTTCCGTGATCTGACACCAAATTCTCAGTAGGAACTAGGAGAGAAATGTTCCGCAACTGGTAAGGAAAGTTGAGATTTTGAGAAGAAGCAACTTTATAAATGGCTCGAAGAGCATCAAATTTCATATTTCAGTCATTTCATCATATTTCAAGATTTTTTCACACTTTTTCTCTCGCGTCTTTAGGGTCAGTCCTCATAAGCCTCGAAATCGAACTGTTGCCCAGTTTAGGAATTTGTTTTGTTTTTATTATTCTCCTAAGCCTCAGAGCCTGGTTAGAACTGTGTTATTTCTGCCATACGCATCAAAATCAAGGGGACAAATGAAATGTTTACCTTAAGTTTTTCCATTTCTCGCCTACTGCGTTACCAACCCAAACACCACGCTATAACAGGGAAATAAAAATTTGCCCTTAGGACTGTGACGTCATTGTCCCGCGAAAAACACCGTTAAAATCCAAAAAAAACACACCATTGTTTGGAGTTAAAAGTTCTATCACTGTGCAAAGTTTGAGCTCCTTCGGATAAAAGACCCAAAAGTGTACATGTTTTCAAGGGTGCAACCTCAAGCCCTCTGCTGCCCCTTGTGAAAGCACATTGAAAACAATACTGCAGTAAGTAATCTGTTCACTCTTTTATTCATCTTTAGCTTCACACTCCACGTTATTTGAATTTCGCTTTCCAAATTATTTATATTTGAAAATAAAGAATAAACCACGAAGTATTAAAATATTGGCTTTGAGTCTGATATCCTCGATATTTCGTTAACACTAAACCACTACTTCTAACGACAACCATAACCTAACGTAACAAAAATATAAAATTTAAAACAACAATTTTCTGTCAAAAAATTAAAGCATAGCCATATGAAAGCCTCGAAGGAAAGAAGGCTTAACAAGTGTGAGAATAACATGTGATAATACCGATATCAACCAGAAATGGAATTAAATATACTATTAGTGAGTGATATGTACAGTTTTGTTTAACAACCAAACTTAACTGACTTCGGAATATAAAAGATGTAATGCAGCACTAAATAGCGATGAAACAAAAATATTACAGCTTCAATTATCTGATGCAGTGGCAAAATTTAACAGATAAAGAAAACCAAGCAAAGCAACTCAAAATAAATAATACAAAACGTGTCGTTTATCTAACTGCTTTTCTCAAGAACCAAAATCTTAAGGTTTGGATTTCTAACTTCATAACATTTGCGATGGTTGCAACGCCAAAACAAGCTCATATATCTCAAAAGGTCCATAGGCAATCCACAATTACACGTAAAACTTTCGGGAACGTTTTACTAGAACAATGCATTCAGTTTCTGCATTTGTTTACTGAAAAATATTCCTCTTTTATTGACTTTCAATTAAACCCTGACTCTATAACTACCGCTAGAATCAGCGAACGTCTTAAACCCGTACATACATTATCCACCCGCACAGTCAAGCATGCGCATTAGGCACAAGAACTCCCTTAAAATTCCATCGTGGTATCTGAATAATTTCATACATTTCCTTTCAATTGGAAACAGAGTTCCATGCTCCTCTAACAAACACATATGACATTGCAACCATAGCAAAGCCTCAATATCTTTAGTACTATAGAAATACCTTTTATGTTTTTCTGATGCTAAGTTACGATTTCCCCGTTCCCGAAAGTTTCAGAAACTTTGGAGACATTTTAGGACGTACTACATGGAGCCTTTCCTGAGGCTTTAACTGTGGCTTCCAGAGTCACATCCACTAAGTCCTAATCTATGACACAGCCCTTGTATAGATCTGATATTTTATCTTGACTTCATATTGAGTAAGAAATCAGCTTTTTGTACCAACTGAAAAATGTATATTTCTATACAGTAATTTACAACGGAAATACTACCGTATAGTTGACAAGTATTTTGTTTCTGTTTGTGTTGAGTTTAGTGAACTTAAAGTTCTTTTATCGAACTCACCGGATATGATAACAAACATGGAATATCCCCAATCATCAAAAGGTCTGAAGTATATAAAATTTGAACTGTGTTTATGGATACTGCATTCAGCCAAAAGTTGTTGCCAGTTTAACAATGATAATGATAATGATAACGATGCTCTTAAAATAGATTGAGAGCAGTTTTCTGGATTTAGAAGTTATTCACATTTTTAGCTTCATTTTTTCTCTAACTTAAATCAAATTGGCCTCCCCTTTTAGTCAGGCAATGGTTTCCCTTCCCACATCGTGAGTAAAGATGTGATATTGTTGCCTATCAGAATTGTTTAATTAACAGTGGCTAAACACACTATTGCTAGATACGATGTAACAGGTGGTTGAATCGAATCGTTTCAAATCTAGGTTAAACCTATAGGACCGGTGATTTGTACAGTTCTACTCTACAAGGCATTAGATTTTAACCCGTACGTTCCTATTTTTCTAAGTTTCTTCCAGCTAAACTTCTTTCCATTCAAATTCCATCAGAAAAGGATGAGTAATAAATTAAAGAAAACTAAACTTGTAAGCCTGGATTAAAGATAGACATTATGTTCAATTGTTAATTATTACAAAAATAAATATATTGTTGAATAATCAGGTTATATGAATTTGTTCTTTGTGACTGAGAACTACGTTCCTCTAGTAAGTCTACATTGTATTATCGCTCACTCGAGATGTGATGCGTAACACATCAAACTTCAGCTTCTATCTGTCACGCAAAGAGCTATGAGGCAGAGCTTCAAGCTCGCGTGACAGTCGAAAAGAGATCGGGGACAGAGAGAATATTAAGAGGTTAACTGGCGGGCTTTTGCTGTTGTTATTGTTGTTGTTCTTCTTGTTGTTGTTTGACCTTTGATTGTTTTTTTTCTTTTTGTTATTTGGTTGATTTACCTTAAATTTTTCTCGTTGTTAGAGTTAATCAAGGTTTGCAAAATTTTCAGTTAGAATGTGTTACGTTTCACATCTCGAGCTCTGACAAACACGTACCATTTTAAATTTCTAACCACCAAATCGTTCCTACCTAATTTGTGGATCCAATTTTGTCTCTTGACCGGCAACATCCAGCCCTTCAATTCTGTGGCAAAGTCATTTCGTCTCTAAGAGCTACGACCAGTAAATAACATTTGCTTTTCCACGAAAAGGCAATGCTCTTATCTTCATGGATGTTCCTTGCGACAAGCGAGTCTGTTCCGTGCTGGGGAGGCATTCCACTCAAACGGTCAAAGCGAGCGTCTTGCCTTGCAGTTCAGCTTCATTCTAGAGGTGGCATCCACTAGTTTTTCAGCGTCCCAAATTTCAATTTCACAGCTTTTCCTGTAGTAAAAATATTTCTCAAGCATGTCTTTTCGTCGTTTAACTGTTCTTCAGGTTCCCGACTAACCGCTGGCGTTAAAGATCGTGGTTATGAGTTCTTTTCTTTTTCGCAGCCATCTGCACGAGCTATGGTCCTCAATATGACGTCACGTGACTTCAGATGACAAATCCCGAAACTAAATCAACGCAATGATCCCCGACGACATAATTATCATAAATTGATATAATAAATCCACATAAATTAAGATGATAAATGTTCTAGCTTTCTCTAATTCAGATAAACATTAAGGACCACTGCTTTCCGCCATCTTAGCCTTCGCTTGGGCTTTTTTCTTCTCGCGCAAAAGATTTTCGCTTTCGTCATCTTCCCCATCATCCCCTCCCATCAAGGAAATAAAGCCCCAGGGTGGCTCGTCCTCGAATAACCGACTAATCGCCAGCAGGGCACTGGAGACGACTGCAAGACCAAACGTGAAGTAGACAAATGTGAGAACGGTGAAGGCAATGACGTAACCAGGGTGATCTTTCTCGTTGTTGGATGGATGCTGAGGCACGAAATCTCCAAAACCGATTGTACTAAGCGTGATAAAAGCGAAATAAACTCCCTCGAAAAATGTCCAACCCTCGTAGCTTTTACCTATGCCTGCCAGAAACAAGATCATTCCCGCTACCATGATGAATATGCATGCCACAGTCTTAAGGTAGATTTTACGAGGTTCTCTGTTGAAGATCCTTGAGTCGACAAATTTCCAGAAGTTTGCCGTTGTTTCGGTAATCCGTTCTCCGATCGATTTGAGCATCAGGCCGGTGATTGGGATGCCAAATATGGCGTAAAATATACAGAAAATTCGTCCCCAGACCGTACTCGGAGCCATTTTTCCGTAACCTTGGAGAAAGACAAAATCACAATTACATTGACTTAGATGGTTTCATTTTCTTTTTTTCTGAAAGGAATAATGCAATCAAAATGGAACATAAAACATATTTTATTCCAGGGTGGCAACTTACGCCATATCTTATGCTCGGTGTTCTAAACGACATTAAAAACGTTGTTTCTCCAATGTTCAGGGGGGAGCCTAAGAAAGTTTTATGCAGGACACTTCACCCCGAGTCCAAACCCTTAACCCTTCCATGTACCGTTTTTGACAAGAAAAATCCAGCTTAAGGTCTCTAATAATACACCTAAAGAGCCAAAACGTGCACCAATTGCTAAGTTCCACAAGCTCTTGTGTCAACTCGGAGTCAATTCGTATCTAACTTGATGACTTTTATCCGCAAAGTCGTAGTTAATAAGGAAAAATGTAAACAATGACATTAGCAAGGAAAGCTCTATTCTTTCTGATTGCGCAAAAGCACCAATTCAGGGTTTGGGGGAGACATCTGTGATTACTTAATCTCTCGATGGGCAATGGGTTACAAATATAGTATGAGTACTGTTGCACATTTGTACTGGTGGTTGCTTTTTATTTTGGCTGTAAAATACTGAGTTACTTATGAAAACAAACAATGTACAGGGATGCTACAAAAGTACTAATGACATAGATGAGTGAGCCTTGTTCAGAACAAATAATATCCTGAGGTACATATACATTTGCACTCGTTTTGCACGTTATTTTCACTGTGCTGAGTACAACTGGATAATTAGTTCTCTTCGCACCAATTCGTGCAAATATCGTTAGGTCATTGTCACTGGAACTTGTCGTCAACGGGAAATGTGAAAATGGATCTGACGCAGTTAATATAAGATACCTTGGTGTGATTTGGAAATCATGTCACTCTTTTGAGAATGCGGCGTCTTTGTAATGATAACTTCATGATGCTGTTACCAAGTCCATTTAACTTTCTTGTTTAATGGATTTTAACCCTCACGGAGTCTACATAAGAACATTAATGTGAAATTTTCGCCTAATGGGCATTTTTGGCTGCTAACATTATTCAGAACGCATATATAGACAAACTAACCCACTCTTTTCGTTGTCAGTTGCGTTTTGTGATTTGCAATTAATGGTTTGAGTATTAGTTGAAAATGTGCTAATGTTGAGAAAATGTGAAACTCGTCAATTAAACAAATTGAAGCGTTTCATGTAGGTGTTTGACAACTGATAAGTTCATCAGCAACACGCAAGTTCTCAAACTGAAATTTAAAGTGAAAGTTATTATTTCTTCAATATTTCATTAAGTCCTTATTCATAAAATGTCTAAATTTCAAAAAGCAAAATAATCTAAGTAAAGCTATGGATGACGATTGAACAACCTGACATTGTATTACCTCGACACCAAATGTTTTCGCAAAATATAAATGTTCAGGGTAGTTACCAAAGTCAGACTAAACATTTCTCTTAACTTATCTTGTCGAATTTGTGCCGTCATTTTTTCATGCAATGAGTGAAGAGTTAATTTAAAGGAGTGCTACATGCAAATCTACATTTTCCTCTGATGTTTTCCATTTCTTGTCTCTGCATTCAAGTTTAATCGCTCAAACGCTGCGAGTGTGAGAAAATCCTTTTCAAAATACACTAGTTTTATCCCACTCGCTTTTGTTACAGGTTTTTCTTGATATTTAAAAAAAAAAAATTACTGAGCCTTCTTCGCGCACCGCTTACCCGTTCCAAAAGAAATTGACAAAATACATTAAACTTGACAGCAAAGCTTTTTTTGCCTTTTAAAACAGCGCTGATTACGTGAATATTAAGCTTTGAATAATTTATGATCGACAATTTATGTCTCGTGGTAAATGCAGACATTAAAACACCATCTTTACACCAGGCATTCAACTTAATTGCATGCATCAACAGGCATCACTTGGAAATGTTCACCTCCAGCAATCCAATACGTAATCCAGTAAAAATTCAGTTTCACACAGTTTATGAAAATATTTTCACTTAAATGAAACGCTATCACTCAAAAGTATTACCGAAGATCTGGTAAAAGTATTTTAATTCTTTTTATTTGATTTGTGGACCTGTACATTTGCCTTACATTGCTGAGCGGCTTTTTCATCATACAGAAAGTGATCGCAATGTTTAACACCGCTTTGTTTCTGACGTGTTTTATCTGTGACTCATTTCTAGATATCCGCATCAAAAACCCAACTTAAGAGTCAAAATAATGTATAATTTTAACGCTGCTGACTTCGATGGACACCATCTACTTTTACATATGTAATTTCAATTTAACTCAAAGGACAAAAACAAAGAATTACCGACCTCCTGCTTAGAATCGAGATCTTATCTGGGTTGTACAAGTTAATTGATTTGCGTGGACGCATATTTCTTAGTTTTTTCTTTCCTTATCGTAATTTTTCAATTAATTTTCTACTTTGTCTAGGAAGATGTCTATACCTTCCTGCTGTTAGATAACCGCCAAAATTCATATCAACATCCCCGTCTATTTCTCTTTAGGATTCTAATAGTCTAAAAAGTTAATCTTTTTACAGGAAAAGTTACTTTTTGGGGGCTCGTGCAAAGCGTTGGAAGACACAAAACCAACAAAAATTCCCTTCATGTTCTCTGATATGCCTTAAGGTTTATGTGACTCATTCATTGTGAATTTTTGGCCGACCAAGGTCTATCATTGCTGAAGAGACCGACAGACCAAACAATAGCATTCAAATGATAATTTTGCTTCGGTAATGGAGGGATTAATGGAAGAATACTTTACTTTAAAGGGTCAGTGACCTTTTTTAAAGAAAGCCAAAGCAAAATAGGAAATCTTTCAATTTTAAGGCTCCCTGATTTTGGATAAACTTGCCTCTTTTCGTTTTTGTCTTCATCTGACTGAAAAGTTTATAGATACCGCAAATAGGGTTTCCTTCCAGTTTTTTAGACAAATACAACACATGTAAAATCAATCTGATTATTGTGTACATTTTGAACAGCATGTATTATTTGCATCTTCAACTAATTCGGAAGCTAAGGAAAAATTAATCCCTTAAGCGAAATAGAAATATGTTAACACTTTTGGAGTATTCCTGAGCTATAACGCCTATTACACTAAGTTTTCTTCCCATTAATGGCAAAAGTAAATTTTTGTAAGAAATGGAAGACATTGAGAAAATAGAATAGATAAAAAATGTAAATAAAAGAAAATATAAGTACGTATGGAAATATGTTCAATTTTTCAGTATAGGTTGAGAATTGCAGCATAATCTTTTACAGCATATATAGCTCATAGCTCATTCTAGCTTATACTTCCTTTACCTAAGAAACTTAGATCCTTTGCAAGATATAGATTTGCCAGAATGAACCCAAACAAATACTGAGATTCTCTTGTCGTGTCGTTTTACTGACTGAAAAATTACCTTGTGCCTACGCAAAGAAAGCGTGAGAGATGAAAACAGAAACGACTCAATGCGTTCGACCTGACCAAACGCAGGACGCTACTAAATATTTTCCTTATCGCCTTTATTTCGGCGTCTTAAGAAATATTAAACGTTAATGTATGAATTGAAAATCGAGGGCACGATTTTTGGAAATCAGGAATTTTAAGAGCAAATAAATTAGAATACTCTCACACAAAGCCCATCAAACAATATTTTATCCCTAACTTACAATAAAACACATAAATGTTTTATATCTTAAAGGGAATTTCCAATTACTTTCAATTATGTCTCGAGAATTCTCACATTTATACATATTTATTCAAACGCGTTCTAACACTTAAGAATATCATTTACTTAGCTGGAAAGGTTTTACTTACTTTGTAATGTTTCTATAGCACTGTGGCAATCTTAGTTCAGTTGTTATTTAAGTTAATTTCTATTGAAAGACGTTTCTTTCCTTAGCGAACGTGCTTTACAACGTAACCGAGCCACATATCGCTTGTGGGTTTAAGGTTATCAGCTGCGGTTAATAAAGAAAACCGCAATCTATAATAATAAATATAATCTTCGGTCTTGCAGACTTTCTCAAAAGAAAGTTATAACGATTCTCTTCCGACCTTTCAAATTAATCACTATCTCTTTTCGTCATTAGAATTTTAGGCCGAAAGGGCATTACAAAAACTGACAAAAGCAATACAACTATAGCCAAGAGAAAAAAATGGGATTGTAATCAAATTTCAATTAATAACACAAAATAACCATTGCTAGTGAAATTGGAGATTTTTCATGATTTCTATATTATTTTGAAAGGCTTTTTGGCAAGAGAAAAACAACAAAAATAACTTTTCTTTATCTTTGCGTGTTTACAATTTCGTCAGATTTAGTGTGTAATCTAAATTGCGTGTAAAATACCTCTTTTTCCTGAGTTTCTCCTCAGCCGGACAAGAATTATGTTTGTTAGAAATACTTTTCCTTCATTTCTCAATAAAGTAATAGAAAATAAGCAAATGGGATTATAAAATTTCCCGGAAACTACCCTCCAACGTTCGTAAATATTTCTCATGAGACACGTACTGGGTGAAAGAATAAAAACAAAATACGGAATCTTTGTTATAAAAATTACACAAAATTTTTATTCTAGACAAGAGTTACTAAGGGAAAGTTCATAACGATATCTCTGAAAATAACCCATTTTCTTTACTCCCTTGTAACGACAGCCTGGCAACTACAAAGCTAATTGCTTTACATCACTTACAGATTGAAACGCAACCGCCATTATGAATGATTTCTTAAAACACATACATCACATAAAAAGTTGAATTCAACTATACACGCTTGGATTCAGTGGTGTTTTGTAGGATTTGAGCAATTTCCAAAAGAAACACGTTTTAAATCGTTGATTGAAAATATCTGCATAGGGCTAGGATCAACTGCAAAAGTAATTTACATTTCCACTAACACAAGTGATCAAATGAGTGTTAATGCAACCGTTTTCACTCCGCTTAGGGGAAAAACCTCTCATTCTCGTTATTTTTTTTTTCCGTTGAGCAAGCGAAACCAACAGAAGAATTATCCGAAACTTATAAGTTGGAATTTAGAAAGGGCGACAATTTTCGCAGTATCCTTACAAAAATGCCTTGAACTTGACGAATTGCCTAAGTGGGTAACTTAGTACTTCGTGGTTCTGCTTCATTTGTGAGGAGGCGGCATGTTCCTTAATACAGAAAGCGGAAAAACCTTTCAAACGCTCAATTTAAAATTTCGTAAAAATAAAGCTACATCTTTTTCTCATTTCTATATTCCTCCTGTGTTCAGCAGACGACGGAGGGTAAAGGTTTTGAAAGCGTGTTGCTTTCTTCGTGAATTTCGTCAAAACCACGTACTGAAAACGCGTTAAAATACATTTAGTCTTCGGCAGGTGGCATTGCTGTTATTGAGAGCAATTTTTCGCTATTTCCATTTTTGTTTATAGTAAACATGGCCTACTCAAGCACCGCACAGGGACCGAACGCTCACTTTCACTCTAGCTAAAACATATTCATCAGAAAAATACGGTTTATTAGGTAATCGCAGACCCGGGCGTGATTCTTTCGGTGAATAACAAAAAACACATGAAATTGATAAAGAAATATCCAGATTTATTTGATCGGAAGTAATGGAATATGGCCTTGTAACAAATTGGTCCTCAAATGCACTTTCGCAGTCTGGATATTTCCCTCATTGGTGAATGTTTTCTCTTTTTTTCATAAATGAAGGTAATTTGAAAAAAAAATGATTTTTTTTCCCTTTTTCCCACGACAAGAAAGCCAAATTCTATCAATTCTATAGTACATTCATTTAAAATTATATTTTGAATGAAAACAAATTTTCTTCACCCAACATTGAAAGGAATATTGGTAGCTCTGTCATTTCGAATGAATATCTTTGACGGCTTAGAACTTCACGTCAAACTTTCACAGTAATCGTGAGTCCTAATCAAGACTTTTGGTCTCGCAAATCGAATTCTGGTCTTGTTTCATGGATTGATTTCTGTATCTTGTTTGGTTATACCAAGTTTTAGTTTCCTAATAACCCATGTCATAAAACCCTCTTCTACGGTACCACAGCTGCTTTTAAATAAATATACATTTTTTGTGGCGGAAAGCTTCGCAAACCGAAACGAGAGGAAAAAGACTTCACAAACGTTCATTTCATTTCAGCAGTTTTTTTTTTATATACTTCAACAGAAACGCGACTTTACCACCTCGGTCTGACAGTACAACATTTCCCTGAGGAGAATAAAATATTCATTTGGCGGTAATTTTTTATTTCGATCGAAACGTCAGATTCCCGTTCTGAATAGCCAAAGCTCAATTTTTTATTTACTCGCTCGAAAATAGGCATTTAATGATATCTTTCCTAATTGTACCGTGACCTGTCTCCTCCCGATATACCGAAAAGTTGGAAATCTTGATTTTTCCGCTTCGATGAAATTGGATTTTGTTTTTTCAAGCAGTGATAGAAATAAATGAAGCGCTAAGCTACCATTGTGTTTTTTGTCGTCTTCTTTGCTATAAGTTCATAATCTTTTGATCGCTACTTTGCATAATACAGCCGAGTCACAGCTTGAGATAGAACATTGTGCTCCTGTACGAAATTAATTCTCGAAAAAAGCGATCGATGGTTTGTTTTCGTTTGAAAAATTACAAAACTCGACGATTTACTGGTTTGCGCCTCGGTGAAATGCCCTATTTTTATGTTTTAGCTAATGAATTCATCGAAAGAACAACCCCGGGAAACAAAACAATCTGCTGGCGAAGCGCATCGGAAACAGAATTTTGAATATTCATGTTCAAAACAGCATTTTGATCCAAGCTTTTTTCTCAATTCGCTACAAAAGGAGGCAGGACTTTGTTGAAATTGTTAAATCCTCATTCTGAAGACCAGTGAATTTTTTTTTTTTTTCGTAATATGTTTGAAATTTAATAAGTTTACATCAACCAAAAGGCAAACTAGAGATTCAATTTGGCGAGGTTTCGCTAGATAACGAGTAGAGTTTGACAGCGGTAAATCACGCGCGAAGCCCTTTGCTTAGAAAACTTAAAATTAAGTCACGGTTGAACGAGCGAAAGCTTGGTAAGCTAGCAACGATGAAATCAGAGACCAAAGAATTAAAATAAACCTCTCCTTCGGTCGTTTAATTTACGAAATAGCGGCTTTAGGTTTTTATGCTCCCTGCCAAGCGAAAGATATACTCAATATATGCGTTAGCAAAGATATTAGAGAAGCGAAATTGAGTCGTGAGAGCACTGAGTTTTCCGGACAGTGGAATGGTGTACCGCAGGCCAATGCTAGCCTTGCAAATTAACAACACTATAAGGAACTAAATCTGGGTCAAAAGGCAACGAGATCCATTTAAACGCGAGACGCTCGGCAAACATTGGGACATCTAACACGCGGCAACAAGAGAATGAGAAACTTGTACTTACCAATTGTTGTTACTACGGTGCCGGTGAAAAATAAAGAACCGGCAAAACTCCATCGGTCGTACGCCACATCAAAATATCCATCGTCGATTGCTTTGGAAATTTCTGAAAAGAAATTACTCATCTCCTCGTCTGAAATGTTGTACTTTTCTTTCATGTTTTTTTGTACTTTGTCAAAGTGATGAATTTCGCGGTGCTCCGCTCCCGATTCGATCGTTTGGAAAACTGCTGCTCCAAATAGTAGATACACTAAGAACAGAGTTGTTCGTAAGACTAGATTTTTAGTCGGGCCTTTCAGCGCCCTGAGGAAGTTTAGAAAGAAAACCCCCATTTGGCGAGCGCGAAAGCCTTACCGACCGAAGCTCTTGTTGCCTGCGGCCCGCGCGACTCCTGCCTGTTTGTGATGGGTAGATATGACGAACATGCTATTTTCTCGGCCACCGGAGGTAGGTACTCTTGTCGACAATCGTTACCTGATAAGCTTGTGACGTCACAGCTGGCAATATTGTTGAGCAGCGAAGTATGAATAGCTTGATTAGAGGATATTGTATTCGCAAATTCAGAATATAGCAGAGTCCATTGTCAAGGGCCTGTACATAAACACAGATAATTGGCCGCGAGCGCGGGCTCGTCACCTGCCTAGCGCGGGAAAACGTGTAAGCGTTGTGCTACCCAGAGTGCCGAATAAAAATTGACATACGAGCATCACTGGCGCTCCAGTGTTCAAGAGTCTTTAGTCAAAAACAAGCCGCATGTAGTCCAGAGCTTCTATTGTTATTAAATTTGCCATATAAGGCAATTGCAATCATTTCGAACAAGAAGATTTCCGCCATGTAGGAAATTTATCATACAAGCTCAGTTCCGGTGCTTTGATCTGAATGCAAATTACACTCGCCTGCTATTTGGCCAAAGATCTTCTCCAGAATGTTATGTTCGGAATTCTGGCGTTCATAAGAAATAAAATGACCGTGAAGCGTCTGAGATTTATTCAGAAAAAATCAGAATTTCACGTGGCATGAATAAATTCACAAGGCCTTAGTAGTCTAGAGACAATGGGGATTGAACTGTGCGCGGCAGCTGTCTCGGGGGGAATTGAGCATAGTGAGGCAAGAAAATGCACAATTACAAAATAAAATGTTTAGAAAACATAATAACCTTACATTAGAACAGCGGCCAAAATCTGATGTTTTCCAAATATATTTATTAAATTTAAAAAACTCGCTTTTTTTTCCTTAACCACCGGGATACTTCGTCCTAAATCCATATTTTAGCCATTAAATGTCATTTGAAAAAAGACTTCCTTATTTCTAAATGGGTAAAAACACAGAGTTATTTGTTTTCATCGTGATGGGAACTCTATTGTCCATTTCTTCGTTTGGGAAACTAATTTCGTTTGGGAAACTAGTCTCGGTCTCGGTATAACAAAAGTAATCTGTGATAGTTGTCATTTTTCGAACGCAGTTTATTTCGAGAAAATTTGCCCAGTTTATTTAACATGTCATGCGAATTGTAATCAAACGAAGATGAAATGGTTTGCGAAGAAGCGTTTATTAATTTTTCATAAAACTCAAAAAGCGTAGCGTCCAGGTTTAACGAATCTCGGCTGCATCGTTTACAAGGGTCGCGTTTCGGTCTCATAAGAGAGGAGACAAGAATTCAAAAGTCATGCATTATTTTGCCTTTTTAAATGAGAAGATTTATTGACAGATTTACTCGGGATCTTTTTTTTTTGTTGTTTATTCCGCTCGACTGTCCAGCTTCCATCCAATTTAGTTTGGCTTCCACTTATGCACATGTCTCCGAAAATGGGATATGTTTGCATTGGGCCAAAGAAAGAAGACCTCTTGTTTACATTAGATGTTGCTTCTTGTTCTAGTCGCACGAAATTCTGACCCTTCGTTGGAGCGTTCAAATTCAAAATATTGACATGTGTGTTGCCTTTTGATGCAAATCAAAGTTTATTATTAAAAATGTTTCCTCCGATTTTTAAGATATTTCTTTTTTTGATACCAAATGCTAAAAGTAACACTAAAATCAACATGCAAAACCATTAACCCGTCTTTACTATTGTGTTCAGCTCTATGTTTAATTTGAGGAAGAATTTTTGAAAATATAAAACTCTGGCCTGTAATTCTAAGTTTTTCGTCCTGTGTGTATTATATTCTTGTCTTAATTTATATTTCAATAGACAAACG